CTTGTAATGACAATTGCAACCACAAATGCAATGACAACGACAACACCATTAAAAATATATTTCAGTGGATTGCATACGTTGGAACAAATCGGCACAAATGGTAGAAAAAGTGGAGCCGACAGGAGCTATTCTTCTCTGCCATGTGAGTGCGATTGTTGACAAATCAACCCAATTCGGCCGATTTTATATATTGTAGTAAAAGAAAAGACAATAAAAAATAATTTTCATTAAATCCAGTATGTATTTGTCATTTATTATTCATGGTAAATTGGCGTAAATTTGACTAATTGTCTTTGTTTATCTTTTAAATTTATACGAATTTATACTATAAACGACATTAAGAATGAATTAGAACTATTAGTTTTATCACACTTGATTTTTCATTACATTCATAATGTTATAAAGTTCTGTATAGCATCATTGATCAATTCTCGGAATTAATCGACTAGTTTTAACGTATTTGAACTATTAAAAACATTCGAAAATATTCAACTTATCAAAATATTGAGCATGACGCCCATGAACACAGCTCGATACGAGCATTAGAGAATATCAAAGTTCTAAAAAATCGTAAGAAATGATGAGCGATACGCCCACTAACACAGCATAGATACGAGAATAATGGCTAGTTTATATATCTTTTTGTACCTAGTACGATCTATCGTCGACGAGTATTTAGTTTTGTCAAATAATCACGAATAATTATTGTCGAGTGTGATTTGTAAGAAAAGATGAACGATAAAAAATGAAATAACATGAAAAAATTCTTAACATCTACATATAAAGGGAATAACGATTGATATCGATCAGAAAAAGATTTTTCGCCACTTCTAAAATGTGTCATTTATAAAAGTTGCAAGATTTGTTTTCCATGTTTGTTAGTTTTCGTTTTCGCAGTCGACTTCAGGAATGGGTTTCAAGCTGTACCGATTCATTCGGCTCATTGGTGGTGTTGATAGTGAAACCGAAAAGCGTCGGCTCACAATTCGTTGAGGAATTACACCTAAAAAAAGCAGGCAAAAAACAATTTAACCAATCAAACTATACTTTATACTATACAGTGTATGCAATTTTCTTTAACACGATAGCGCTCTCATGAGATAACTAATTTAAAAACGGACTGTACAGGATGATTGAGAGCGATTGAGATTCTTAAGGAAAAGGAACCATTAGAATTTGAGCGTTTATTTTTTTCTAAATTCACCTAAATTTTGATCAGCAATGGGTTGATCACCACTACCATCTCCAGCTGAAAAACGAAAAAAAAAAAAACAACAAAACTATTGTGGTGATCTGTGGCAAGTTTTAAAAATGAATAAAAACATAAAAAACTTATTTGACGTTTACCCTGAA